AATCAACTAAAGGCCAAACCTTCTGCCCATTAGGTTGTGGTGTTCAGACGAACTTCACCAACGGTACTCTACATCGTCTCAGAGTCGGCAAAATTTTAAAAGGTGAACGTCCATATCCTAACTATAGATTCTGCTGCGTTAGGATTTATTTCGATAAAGTTCAATACTGTGCATGTTGTTTGACGTTCCTAACAGAACCCAACATGTTTCACTTCTATATAAAGGAGCTGAGGTAACTCCAAAACCCTAACTCCCATTCATTCTACATTCTCCTCCATTGCTGTTGCTCCCTCAGAGCAGCTCTTTTCACCCTTTTCACATACTGACTTGAGCGTCGGAGGCTCTACGCCGGAAATCCCTCCGGTGTTGAGTTCATGCAGGTGTTCTCACAGTTCGATAGCAGTTTGGAGACCATCAAGACAGATCTGAGCTCGTTCCCATCTATTCATTCCAGATCTGGGCGATTTTCCACCGGTTCATTCCAGATCCGAGAAGAGACCCATCATTTTGGCGCTGTCTGTGGGGAGTTCTTGAAGGAATTAAGAGCTTTACACCTAGTTTGGATCTGTCTCCGATGGCAGAGAAAGAAGGATTGCAGAAAAGCTTGAATGAAGATTTCAGGGCAGCATGGACTGACAAGCGACCTCCGCCGATTCCCAGCCCCAAACCACCGCTACAAGTGTTTGGTTTCCCACGGTTTGGGGCACACGTGCCGTCAGGAGGGCGTTTGGGGGAGGAGACGCCTATCACCCCACCAGGAGTCAAGATTCCAGTGCTCACTCAAGGGGAGGCCAGTCACGTGAAGAGCACAAGCGGAGGAGTTAATGGTCGTGAGTCAACCAAGACATTCCTAAGTCTGGGAAAACAGCCCGGACCGCTCGAGCAGGAAAAGAGACCGCCGTCTCAAATCGAGGAGCAAATGCTGACCATGACACGGAGCGAGATGCAGAGGATGATTGCCGAAGCTGTAGCGGCCCAAATCAAGCAAGCGCAAGTCGAGCAACCTAGGGTCGAGCAACCCAGGGTCGAGCAACCCAGGATTGAGCAAGCTAGGGTCGAGCAGCCTCAAAATGAACAACAACCCCCTGAACGCGAACAACAGGCGCAGTCACATGAAAGGCAGAACAAGAGGGAAGATGAAGAGGAGTCACAAGCCAGAAACGACACCCTGGAGCAGTTGTTAGCTCAGGTCCGACACTTGCAGGCTCGAGTGGAAGGGAGGAAAACAGAAAGCTCGAGGGGACACCCTTTTTCACAGCATATTCTAGACTCCGACTTACCTCAAGGGTTCAGGGAGCTCAACATCTGGTATGATGGGTCGACTGATTTCTCTCGACATCTAAGGAGCTTTGAAAACATGGCAGTACTGCACCGTTACAACGATCCCGTTCAATGTCGAGCATTCCTGACGACTCTGCGAGGACCAGCGCAAGATTGGTTTCATCAATTGCCCCCAGGAGTCGTCAGGGACTTTGACGGATTTAGCTCAAGTTTTCTAAACCAATTCGCAAGTGTAAAAGCCCAAGAAAAGTCTTACCTTACTCTGATAGGCATGCAACAGAAAGAAGGGGAATCACTGAGGGATTATGTGGCGAGGTACACACGGGCGTGCGTCGACGTCCCCTCGGCCACTGAGGAAATCAAGTCGGGAGGACTCACTCGAGGACTACTCCCGGGATTATGCAGAAACTCCCTAGCAAAACGACCCGGGAGGACGTTTGATGAGATGTTAGGGAGGTGCGCCAAATACATGAATGTCGAGGAGGCTGAAGCCGACTTTCTGCAAGCAGCTAAAGCAAAAATGGAGTCTCAGGATGAAAAGAAAGATAAAAAACCAATCGCGACGGTTGAAAGAAAAGGATCCCCGAATTTTGAGAGAGAGGGACGATCAAGGGGATGGAGGACAACTCAATATACTCCCCTGTTAGCTTCAAATGCAAGGATATTGGAAGTAATGGAAAAAGAGATCCGCGAAAGTGTTGTAAGGTGGCCACGGACGAGAAAGGATGGACCGACAAAACCTAAAAGCAATCTATATTGTCGATTCCACAAAGATTACGGGCATAACACCGATGAATGTCGACACCTAAAAAATGAGATCGAGAGACTAATCAAAGCAGGTCATTTGAAGGAATTCGTTTATAAGGATCGAGAGCGAACCAGTCGGCGAAGGGAGAGAAGCAAAAGCCCTCACAAGAGAGCGAGGACGCCCGACAAGGAGGACCTCCCGCAGAAAAGAGGAATAATTCATATGATATTCGGGGGGCCAACCGACGAAGATTCGAATCGAGCCAGAAAGGCGTATGCTTGAAGCCACCACGACAAAATTAAAGTGCAGCAAGTTGAGGAAAGCGGTCCGGTGATGAATTTTGGGCCAGCAGATATGGGAGAAGTCGAAAGACCTCATAACGATGCCCTGATGATCACTGCTCAAATATCAGGCTATGAAGTGCAGAGGATCTTCGTCGACACGGGAAGCTCGGTGAATGTGATCTTTTACAATTGTCTTAAACGGATGGAACTCGACATCGAGCTTAGACCCCTGCACACCTCACTCTTTGGGTTTAATGGTTCAGAAGTCGCCCCCTAGGATAAACCACGCTCGTTGTCGTCCTCGAAGAAGGCGACTTGAGGAAAGTAAAGATGGTACGATTTGTTGTAGTCGACGTCAAGTCTGATTATAATGTGATTCTAGGAAGGCCAGCGCTCAACACATTCCAAGCAGTGGTGTCAACATATCACATGAAGTTGAAGTTCCCCGTTGGAGATAAAGTGGGGGAGGCCCGAGGAGACCAAAGGCTGTCAAGAACCTGTTATCAGATAGCAGTAAGAACAAACCAGCGGGCAGAAGTAAGGGAAGGGAAGAAGCCAATGCCGAGTGAAAAGAGACAAAGGGAAGGCGATCTTGAACCGCACAGAGAGTTGATGGAAATTCAAATTGGGGAAAAGGAAGAGCAGACCACTAAAGTCGTGAGAGAGTTGGAAGATGAATTGCGTGAACAGTTAGTGGGATTGTTGAAAGAATTCAGAGACATATTTGCCTTCTCCCCGGAAGAATTAACGGGAATCGATCCTGATGTCATGGAGCATAAACTTAATGTCGACCCCCTGAAAAAGCCGGTGAAGCAGCGACTCAGACATCATGGTGCGGAAAACAATAAAGCGATTGAGGTCGAGGTAGATAAGTTGTTGAGAGCCAAACACATCAAAGAAATTCAATTCCCCGAATGGATATCGAACACAATGATGGTGAGGAAAGCGCTGAACAAGTGGCGCATGTGCATTGACTTTCGCGATCTGAATTTAGCATGCCCAAAGGACCACTACCCCTTGCCGAGAATCGATCAGCTGGTCGACTCCCCAGCTGGCTCCCAATTGCTGAGTATGATGGATGCATCCCAGGGATATCATCAAATTTCGCTGGCCCTGGAGGATCAAAGCAAAGTTAGTTTCATGACGAGCAAGGGGACATATTGTTATGTCGTCATGCCTATTGGGCTTAAAAACGCAGGGGCAACGTACCAGAGGTTAATGGATCGAATGTTTAAATCGCATATTGGACGAAATATGGAGGTTTACGTGGACGATATCCTGGTGAAGAGCAGGTCTTCGATCTCGCATGTGGAGGATTTAATGGAAACGTTTAAGACGCTAAGGGCATTTGGGATGAAGCTAAACCCAAGTAAGTGCGCTTTTGGAGTAAAGGCGGGACGATTTTTGGGATATGTCGTAATGGAGAGGGGCATCGAAGTGAAGAAGGAAAAGGTGAAGGCTATACTCGACATGGCCACACCTAGAAATATCAGAGAAGTACAAGTCTTAACAGGTCGAATTGTCGGCCTGAGCAGGTTTATTGCTCGAGCGGCGGAGAGAAGTTTCCCATTTTTCAAGTTGCTTAAAAAGAAAGCTTTCCAATGGAGTGATGAGGCGCAGGTAGCATTCGAAAAATTAAAAGAATTTTTGAGCGAATTGCCGCTATTGACAAAACCAGAACAAGGTGACGAACTGGTGCTTTACATTTCAGTCGGGATGTTTTCTCTAAGTTCCGTTTTATTGCGAGAGACAGCAGGGGCCGAACAACCGATTTATTATACAAGTCGGGTACTTCAAGGAGCGGAGACGAGATATTCCGAAGTCGAAAAAGCTGCTCTGACATTGGTGATAACAGCCAGAAAACTGAGGCCCTATTTTCTGAATCATGTGATAATAGTGAGGACAAACTTCCAACTCGGTGAAACACTGGGTCGACCTACCGTCTCAGGTCGACTCGTGAAATGGACGGTCAAGCTAAGTGAATACTCCATCAAATACGAGCCAAGACGTGCCATAAAAGCTCAGGCCCTAGCGGATTTCATACATGAGGGAACCAAAGGAGAGGAAAAGAAATGGATAATGCATGTCGATGGATCTTCAGCAGCCAAGGGGTCAGGGCTAGGTGTCGTCTTAGTGTCCTCCAAGGGTGAACAGCTCGATTTTGCTGTAAGAATGGGCTTCAAGGCCTCAACTAACAAAGCAGAGTATGAGGCACTGATCAAAGGAATTCAACTCGCGATAGGGGGTGGAGCAACGGAAATCGTGGCCCACTCCGACTCACAGCTTGTTGTGGGCCAGGTAATGGGGAACTGTGAAATAAAAGAAGGAAGAATACAGAAGTATGTCGAGGAGGTTCAAAGCCTGGTGCAGGGCTTGGAGAAGTTCGAGCTGACCCAAATCCCCCGAGAAGAGAACAAGCGAGCCGACTGGCTCGCTAAGATAGCCAGCTCAAACGAGAGGAAAATGGGAGGCCACATTACCACCATGAGTCTGGAAAA